AGAGTCTCACTTTTTTGCCCAGGCTAGAGTGAGTGCCATAGCATCAGCCTAGTTCACAGCAACCTCAAACTCCTGGGCTCAAGCGATCCTTCTGCCTCAGCCTCCCAAGTAGCTGGAACTACAGGCATGCACCACCACGCCCGGCTAATTTTTTGTATATATTTTTAGTTGGTCAATTAATTTCTTTTTATTTTAGTAGAGACAGGGTCTCGCTCAGGCTGGTTTTGAACTCCCAACCTCGAGCAATCTGCCCGCCTCAGCCTCCCAGAGTGCTAGGATTACAAGCGTGAGCCACCACGACTGGCCTTATAGAGCAAATTTTAAAACACTTTTTAGAGATGTCTTTGTTCCTTCTCCACTCCCACTATTTTACTTGATTAGCCTTTAAAAATTAAATTTTAAAAAACAGTTTTTATTTTGAAATAACTTTAAATTTTACTGTAAAGTTATAAAGATAGCACAAAGAGTTCCTAAATACCCTCACCCAGCTCTGCCTAATGTTAACATCTTACATGATCATAGTACATTTGTCAAATCTCAGAGATTAATGTTGGCACATTACTATTAACTAAATTACAGACTATTTGGAATTCACTGGGTTTTCCATTCATGTTCCAGGATCCAGCCCAGGAAACCACATTGCATTTCATCTTCATCTCTTTAGTCTCCTTCCATCTGTGATAGTTTCACCATCTTCTTCTTCTTCTTCTTCTTTTTTTTTTTTTTTTTACAAGAAAACATCTTAAAGTTTTTCCCCAGGCTTTCTTTTATGAGAGATGAATGTTTTAATCCATGATGTACCCTTTTCCCATCTTTCCCTTATATATTTATCTTACTTTTTGGTATATTCCATATTCATTGCTCTTGTTATTATTATGTAAATATTGTTACCCATTGAATTGGTTAGTGTATCATAATTACATTTCTGCTTATACATAACTTTTTGTTTGTCCTGCCATTAATAATTGCCTCCCTTTTATTATTTCTTTTGTTTTCTTTGAAATTGACTACATCTTCCTACAATCTCTAATAGTTCAATAAAAGGCTTTCAATTCAATTTTACCCATGTTCAATTGTATCAAATAATTTATCAGTTCAATTTTTTTTTTTTAATTCCTCCTCCCCCCAACCCACTCTAATGTGAATAGGGGCTGCACAGCTATTGTTCTTCAACTCCTTTGCCATCCTGGAGATGTCCTCCTTATCTCTTCTTTGTTGTATTCCCTGTTTCCTGTATTCCTAGAGTTTCTATTTCTTGGTTTATATTCTTTTTGTTGGAGCATGTCCTCCAGTAATTTATGGGAAGTCATTCTTTAAAGACTTGTATGCTTGAAATTGTCCTTTTTCTACTCTCATGCTTGATTTATCAGTATAGACTTCTAGGCAGTTTCCATCATTGCTCCTGAGTTTGGGGCCATTCTGGATCTTGATCCTGCTTTATCTGTTCTTTCTGTGGAATCTCTTAGGATCTTCTCTATCACTGGGTTCTGAAATGTCAGGTCCAGTTTATGTGATTCAGATGGGCTGGATCTAGAGTTGGACATGTGACCAAGCAGTTCTAATCAGTGTATTCTACCTTCTGCAGCCACAGTGATTAATTTCAGGATGGGCACATGACCCAATCATGCAATGAGATTCATTTCCCAGACTTTGATTTGAACAGAATCTCTCTCCCCTGATTTGTACCTGGAAGGGTACAAGCCCATAGCTACTGAGGACCTCCAGGAAGAGGCCTTCCTGAAAGAAAAGTTGTATTAGTTATCTATTTATATGTCACAAATTACCTGCAAACTTAGCAGCTTCAAACAACAAATAGCAATTATTATCCAAGCACAGCTTAGCTAGATGACAGTTCCTTAACCACTTCAGTACTGTGCTCACCAGCCGGCACGATAGTTTGTGCTGTGCATTGACAATGAATCCATTTTGCTCTTGTGTGATGAGGAAAGCTTTAAAGCACTGAAAGCTTGTTTTACTTTACAGGCAGCTTTACTTGTAATGTAATCAGAATAGGTAACATATACATATATGTTTTCATTATGTTATTTTTAAATGTTTACAATTTTATTTTGATAAATGAAAAATTAGAAAAGTCATACCACAGCTGTTGGCTAAAGTTGCTGTGTGCGTTCATCTATGGCTATTGACTATAGTCAACACTGGGCTGTGCGAGTTCATCTGTGGCTATCAACTATAGTCAACACTGGTACTGAAGTGGTTAAAGTCTCTCCTAAGGCTGCAACCTGGTGTTATATGGGTCTCATCTGATGGCTCAACTGGGGAGATCTGTTCCAGGCTCACTCATGTGGTTGTTAATACACTTCAGTTTCTTCAACTGAGGGCCTCAGTTCTTCACTGGCTATTGGCCAGAGGCCTCCTTCAGGTCCCTGCCATGTGGGCCTCTCCTTAGGGCAGCTCACAGCACAGCACTTGGCTTCCATCAGAGTGAGCAAGTGAGAGAGCAAGCAAAACAGAAGCCAGAATCTTTCGTAACCTACTCTTAGAAATGACATCCCATCACTTTGCCATATTCTAGTCATTTGATGTGAGTCACAAGATCAGGCCCACATTCTAGGGAAGGGAACTACAAAAGCAGATGAATACCAGGAGGTGTGGATCATAGGGACCATTTTAGAGGAAGTTGATCACAGAAGCCAATGTTGAGGAAAACAGAGCTGAGAGCTAAGACATGATTGAGCCCCATGGACTTCATTTTAGTCCTTGAATCTTACGAGTAGGTTTTGTCACCTGCAATATTCTGCAATGTGCTAAAGCAGCTACCCAAACATTAGGGGGAGCAATTCATCCCCCTTTGCCCAGGACGTTCCTGGTTTTAGCACTAAAAGTCCTATGTCCTGGGAAACTTCTCTATCCCAGGCAAATTTGGACAATTGGCACTCTACACAGCAGTCATCTGATGACCAAAATTAAACCAATGAAACACCAAAGCAACCTGCTTAGGATTCTGTGGCATGCTACTACAGAAAACATATGGACTCTGGAGTTAAGTTTGGGGTTCAAATCCTGGCTCTACCACTTACTACCTGTGTGGATCTTGGCAACTCACCTTACCAGTTTTCTCACCATTAAAATAGATATCAGAATATCTACCTTGAAAAATACCCATGTGAATTGCAGAGAATTTATGTAAAGACATGGTTATCTCACCAAATGGGATTTATTATCATTATAAGTAATTTGCAGCCAACTGTAACTGTTTTCAGACAAGACACATGGGGATTTCTTGGGTCTCAGATACCAGCTTGATATACAGTTGCTGTAGCTATGTGCCAGGGCCTGCGGATTACCCTAGCACCAAGGTGCTCAGAAAATTAATGCTTAGGTTTTCTTTTCTTCTGAGATAGGGTCTCCCCCTGTTGTCCAGGCTAGAGTGCAGTGGTGTCATCATAGCTCACTGCAACCTCAAACTCCTGGGCTCAAGCAGTCCTCCTGCTTCCTGGCTAATTTTTCTATGTTTTGTAGCACAGGATCTATGTTGCCCAGGCTGGTCTCAAATTCCTGGCCTCAAGCGATCCTCCTGCCTCAGCCTCCCAGAGTGCTAGGATTACAGGCATGAGCCCCCACACCCAAACAATGCTTAGGGTTTTGGAGAATTCCTGGGCATGTTTGATAACTTGGCTAAAGAGTCAGTCAAAACCATTTCAAAAGGGTTTTTTTAAACAATCCTTTAAAGATCCTTTTTTTAAAAAATGTGACCACCTTAAACTGTCTTGGCACTCTTTCTTTTAAAAATTCAGACCTTGTGACAGGTACAAAATGGTTCACAAAGGTGAGATTTAGACCCTGGCCCAAGGAATTGACTTTGGACAGAACTTTGACAAGGTATTGCTCATTCCGAGAGAGCACCATTGGATTTCTAGCCTAGCAAGCACTCCTTTCAGTTACTGTACAATTCTGATCTCTTCTAGTTACAAATGACAGAGCCATACCCAACTTGGCTTTGGCAAAGAGGAGTATTTTTGGCACAAGGAATGGCCAAGAAACTGTGGAAAGGAACACCAGAATCAGGGACCTGAAATCTACCATGACTCTCTAGGTATCTTGTCTCTGTCCCTCTATCTCACTCTATTTTTTCCACCAGGCTTGAAAATGGTGGTCCACAGCTCCTGACTCTCACATCTTCTCACCCTCCAAATCCCAGAAAGGGCTGCTCACCGGTTGAGGTGGTGTCAGGTGGCCATCCTTGGACCAGTCATCACTGACTGTGGGTATAGGGCAATTAGAAAATATGGTGGCTCCCTGAGAACCATCTGGTTGGGGCAGGGAGAGAAGTAATTCCCAGGAGAAGTGCTAAGCGAACAGAATAAGGCACTGTGACAACCCTTAAGTTAGCCACTGCACAAGGATTTTACAGTAAAGACCCTGTGTAAATCTACAAGAGGACCACAGCTTTCAAAATCATGGATAGAGAAGCCCACTGGAGGCCAATTAAGTTCCCAATACAGTGGGGACTCTAACCTTTACTATAGGTGAATTAGCTACATCTGGCCCCTCATTCAGACAGCTCATCCCTCCTTACAAAAGAGGACCTATGCAGAGCACTATAAATAGACTATTCAAAGATCTCCTGGACCTCACCTGTTCTGAAACTCTGGTGTTCATTAGAATCAATGGGAGATGGTGAAGCATGCACTTTCTCAGGCTGCCTCTGGGATTGCAATTCCAGGGTGGAGTCAAGGAATCTGCATTTTTATAAGTCTCCTAGGTGATGCTGATGAAGATGGTCCACGGAAAACACTAAGAAACTACACACCAGGCCATCTGTCTACAGATCATAAAAATAAAGCACCTAGCATATTGCCTGGCACATGGTTTATGCCCAGAAAATAGCACCAGAGAGCCCAGCAACTGGCCCCAGACCTGCAAGAGAACTCTGACGCTCACTCAGTCTCGTGCAGTCCTGGGCGTGACATCTAGACCTCCCTTGCCCCTGCCCCAGCCTTTCCAGGGGAGAGAGAATAAAATAACAGCAGCAACAATTTCATTTTATAAGCACTTGGTTTTATTGCACAGAAGCAATTGAAAGTGGACTCCAGTGGAAAGTGTGCCCTGGCGTGATTCAGTGGCCAGTGCCCGGTCCCACCCACTTAGCTCTTCCAGAATTGAGAGCTCTGGGCAAGGGCTTGACCACTCCTTTGGAAAACAGAAGGCATTTAGGAATTGGTTAAGACATCTCAAGCATAATGCATTTCTAACTGCTCATTCATTATTGCGGTCATCTGTCAGTTGCACATAGAGGAAATAAATGCACTTATTTGGAAAGAAGGGGGCAGTTTTTATAGTCAAGTATTTACGAGTAGCATTCGGCATGTATCACATTCGGCTACATAAGCTATCATGACATAATTGTCCATCGCTGGGGAGGGTTGGGGTGTTGGGGGCAGGGAGCTAGGAGTGCCCTCTCTTGCTAACATATTGCTAACAGAAATTCCTGTTTGGTGAAGGAGGGCCCGTCATCCAAGCAGAGTTTCTTCTTACATAAAGAAAAGAGAAAAAAATAAAAAGTCGTTACACTGACCCTTGAGCTCTGGGACCCTCCTGAGTTTCTTTGGCTGTTCTGGACGTTTCTTCCTGGTTGCCTTACTTCTCCCCCTTGGTGGCCTTGTCTTCTGTTGCCTTCTCTGCAGGCCTGCTGTCTTTTTGATCTGTGCTAGAGGATTTTTCAGCCTTTTCCGTCTTGGGTTTGCTCGGTGTGGGGGCCTCCTTGGCCGGTTCCTTGGAGGGGGTCTTGTCCTCCTTGGCTTTGGCTTCCGTTTTGGGCTTCTCCTCAGGCTTCTTGGCCTCTGTGGCCTTCTCCTCCTTGGCGTCTTTTTTCTCCGGTGCTGCTAGTGTCTCTTCCTTCTTAGGCTTTTCTGGCTCCTTCTCTGCTGGTTTGCTGGGTTCTTTGGCCTTGACATCTTCTGGTTCCTTCTTGGCCACCTCAGTCTTCTCTTTGGGTTTAGCTTCTTCCTTCACTTCGACCTTGGTAGGAGCCTCCTTCTCTGGGGTCGCCGCTTTTTTCTTATCTTCAGCCTCTTCCTTCTTGGCTTCAACTTTGGATTCTTTGGGCTTTTCTATAGCAGGTTCCTTCTCCTCAGCCTCATGCTTGGAAGCCTCCTTCTTGGGCACCTCTTCTTTCTTGCTGTCCTTCTCCTCAGGTTTTGGCATGGCTGGAGCTTTCTCTCCCTCCACTTTCTTTGGGGGCTCTTTGACTTTCGCCTCCTGGGGCTTCTCTTCCTCCTTTGCGGGCGACTTCACCTCTTCCTTCTTTGGGATCTCCTTCTCAGGGGCCTTGGCATCCTTTACAGGAGATTTGACCTTCTCTGGGGACTTGATTTCCTCTTTGGCAGGGCTTTTGGTCTTCTCGGGGGATTTGATGTCTGCAGGGGATCTTGCTTCCTCCTTCACTGGAGTCTTGGCCCCTGGAGACTTCACATCAAGAGTCTTGGCCTTCTCAGGGGACTTTGCTTCTTCTTTCACTGGGGACTTGGGCTTCTCAGGGGACTTGACCTCAGCTGGAGATTTTGCTTTTTCCTTCATGGGGGACTTGGCCTTCTCTGGCGACTTGACCTCAGCTGGAGACTTGGCCTTCTCAGGGGACTTGACCTCAGCTGGAGATTTTGCTTCTTCCTTCATGGGGGACTTGGCCTTCTCAGGTTTTGCTTTTTCCTTCATGGGGGACTTGGCCTTCTCAGGGGACTTGACCTCAGCTGGAGACTTGGCCTTCTCAGGGGACTTGACCTCAGCTGGAGATTTTGCTTCTTCCTTCATGGGGGACTTGGCCTTCTCAGGGGACTTGACCTCGGCTGGAGATTTTGCTTCTTCCTTCATGGGGGACTTGGCCTTCTCTGGGGACTTGACCTCAGCTGGAGACTTGGCCTTCTCAGGGGACTTGACATCGGCTGGAGATTTTGCTTCTTCCTTCACTGGGGACTTGGCCTTCTCAGGGGACTTGACCTCAGCTGGAGACTTGGCCTTCTCAGGGGACTTGACCTCGGCTGGAGATTTTGCTTCTTCCTTCATGGGGGACTTGGCCTTCTCAGGGGACTTGACTTCAGCTGGAGACTTGGCCTTCTCTGGAGACTTGACCTCAGCCGGTGACTTGTCCTCTTCCTTCTCTGGAGACTTGGCCTCTTCCTTTACTGGGGACTTGGCTCCCTTCTCTGGGGATGCAGCCTCTTCTGCTAGGGGAGACTTTGCTTCTTCTTCTCCCTCTTCTGCTTTCTCCTCTTCTCCCTCCTCCTCTTTGGCCTCTTTCTCCTCTTCTTCAGTCACTTCTTCAGTCACTTGGATCTCCTCTGTCTGTTCCTCCACAATCACCGTTTCCTTCTCTGACTTTTCTACCACCTTGATCTTCTCTTCACTTTTGACCTTTATGTGAGTGGACGTGGAAGGGATTTTGGGGAGTCCTTCTGGAAGGGAGAAAGGACTTGGGCCAAAGCCAATCCGACACTCCTCACCTTCCAGGAGTTTTCTGCAGAATGGATATTGAATCGATTACTATTTACTCAGAACAGATTCAATGGTTTGGGGTCTTCCTAGATTATCCTGAAGGTCAATGACATCCAATGATTAGGACTTTGGTGGAGGAAGGAATGTGAATGGTGGGCATTATGAGATTGGAGAAAGTCACTCAGCCAGTCATCCCAGCGACCACCCACAGCGTACATCCCAGTGGGGTTGGTCTTGGTTAATGCAGCCAAGGCTACAACTTCTGAGATTAAACAACTTTTTTTCCTCCCTGAAAAATGGCCTCAAGAGAGAGCGCCTACATTAATAAAAGTCACTTTTTTTTTTTTTGAGTCAGAGTCTCACTCTGATGCCCGGGCTAGAGTGCTGTGGCATCAGCCTAGCTCACAGCAACCTCAAACTCCTGGGCTCAAGAGATCCTTCTGCCTCAGCCTCCCAATTAGCTGGTACTACAAGCATGTGCCACCATGCCTGGCTAATTTTTTCTATATGTATTTTTTGGTCAATTGATTTATTTGTATTTTTAGTAGAGACAGGGTCTCACTCTTGCTCAGGCTGGTTTCAAACTCCTGACCTTGAGTGATCCTCCCGCCTCGGCCTCCCAGGGTGCTAGGATTACAGGCATGAGCCATCGTGCCCGGCCAACAAATACACATTTATCGTCCCTTGACTAAAATGTTACTCAGGAGAAAGCTGGGAGCCTGAGCAAATAATTCCACATTTATACATTGGTGTTTAAGAGGTCCTAGAGTGTTTCCATTGAATTTCAAGGGTCTCCTTTTATATTATCATCCTTTGAGTTTTAGGATTAGGGCAGTGGCAGCAGTTTCTCCTCTTAGCTTTGCTACCCTCTAGATGGTGACCTTGGCCAAGCCATTCAAAGTTCTTTAAGCCTCAATTTCCTCAATGTCAAAAAGGGGGTCACAGGAGTCCCTGCCTCAGAGGGTTGTTTCAATGCAATAATGAATAAAAAGGACTTGGCAAGTGCCTGTCTCAGGGCAGGGGGTTACCCCTGCAGACAGGTGCTTCCGAATTTAACAGTACACAAATCCTCTGCGGATCTTGCTGAAAGGCAAATTCTGACACAGCAGGTCTGGAGTGGGGCCTGAGTCTGCCTTTCTAGCAAGCTCTTGGATGATGCTAATTCTGCTGGTTCATGTGCCACGCTCTGAAGAGTAAGACAACAGACCACAGCCAGGAGGTGGGAAGCCACGGGTCACCAGTCAGCAACTGGGATGGGTCTTTATGGGTCAGCCCCACTCCCTATCCCTGTTGCCCTGGGACGTCTTGTTCCTGGGACTGGATTTCTCATAGTTGCCATTTATAAGGGCAACCTCTGTGGCAGTCTAATAGTACCTATGTTACCCGGAATAGCTCATCCTCCCAACAACTGGGCATTCTTATTATCAACTCCATTTTTTCCCCCAGGAAATGAATGCTCAGAGAGTAGTAAAGGCCGTGATAACTCAAGTGTTTTTTTTCCCTCCCAGGAAGGCCTCTGACTGGCTGGATTTGGCAAGGTGATGGAGCTTTAACCCTCTAAGTCACTGTTAGAATGAAAATAATTCACTTTTAAGATTTTTGGGCCGGGCGCGGTGGTTCATGCCTGTAGTCCTAGCACCCTGGGAGGCCGAGGCGGGCAGATTGCTCGAGGTCAGGAGTTCAAAACCAGCCTGAGCAAGAGCAAGACCCCGTCTCTACTATAAATGGAAAGAAATTCATTGGCTAACTAATATATATAGAAAAAATAAGCCGGGCATGGTGGCGCATGCCTGGAGTCCCAGCTACTCGGGAGGCTGAGACGGGAGGATTGCTTGAGCCCAGGAGTTTGAGATTGCTGTGAGCTAGGCTAACGCCACGGCACTCACTCTAGCCTGGGCAACAAAGCAAGACTCTGTCTCAAAAAAAAAAAAAAGATTTTTGTCTCTCAGAAAGTAGAATGGTGGTTGCCAGAGGCTGAGGGAAGGGGACAGGGGAGAATTATTGTGTAATGGGTATGCAGTTTCAGTTTGGGATGATGAAAAAAGTTCTGGAGATGGATGGTGGTGATGGCTGCACAACACTATAAATGTACTCAATACCTCTCAACTATATACTTAAAATGCTTAAATGATAAACTTCATGTTTATCATTTACAATTTAAGAAAAAGACTTTTATCCTTAAGATAGGCAGGCTGCCTAAATGTGGGTTTGAAACCCAAGGCTTAGCACCCCATAAAATCCCCACCATGCAAAGGCCCTGGCCCACCTCACCTGTAAGCAGCTATTTCAATGTCCAGAGCCATCTTGACATTGAGCAGGTCCTGGTACTCTCGGATCTGGGCCGCCATCTCCCACTTGGTGTTCCTCAGCTCCGTGTCCAGCTGCTGAATGGCTTCCTGGGGACAAGAGAGAGATCACACATGTCACATGCCAGCCAGCACCTGATCCTCCATACCTGGGAAGCTGGGGCTGACCGTGCAAACTCAGAGCAGCCCTGTCCAGCCACCCTTGTTGGGTCCAACCCCTACCCTGTCAGAGCTGCAGCATCCTCATTTATAGATGTACAAAAATCTGGAGCAAAAAATATATGATCTCAGGCTGGGTGCAGTGGCTCATGCCTGTAATCATAGCACTCTGGGAGGCCAAGGTGGGAGGACCACTTGAGGTCAGGAGTTTGAGACCAGCCTGAACATGAGTGAGACCCTGTCTCTACTAAAAATAGAAAAAATTAGCCAGGCGTGGTGGTGTGTGCCTGTAGTCCTAGCTACTCAGGAGGCTGAGGTGAGAGGATCGCTTGAGCCCAGGAGTTTGAGGTTGCTGTGAGCTAGGCTGACACCACAGCACTCTAGCCCAGGCAGCAGAACAAGACTGTCTCAAAAATATATATATGTATATGTATGATCTCAGCCTGGGGAAAGGTCTGGAATGAAATACATTAGATGTCAACAGTGGTTATTGCCAGTTTGGTTGGTGGGATGATGGGAGAACTGTTACAGATCTCTTGAGCTTAGAAAGTGTTCGATGGGAGCAGGGCCTTGTCTGCTTTTGCGCCCCAGTGTTTCCCCAGTGTCCCACCCCATAATCAGAGCTTGGTAAAGCATCTGCTATTGATGACTAAGACAATACCCAGAAGCATGTTAAATACAGGTTGAAACTTCTCCCCTGATCCCAGGCCCACTATAGGTAGTGCTTAAACTGAACTAATATGGCTAATTTTTATTTTCTCCTTTTTATTTCTCTATTTGCTAATTTTTCTACAATCATGTTATTACTTGCACACTAAGTTCTTTGAAGGTGATATTTTCTCATAGTTGTCTTTAATAGGAGGACTCTGCCAAGGCCTCTCCCAGGCTACCCACAGACACTAGGTACTGTTTACCCATTGTGATCAGGACCCCATAGAGCACATTCCCAGTCATCTCACTCAAAATCTGTCTATCTCTTTAACCTTGACGGCTCTGCAAAGCAGGAACTCTTTCTGTTTATTTGTTTTTTGCTTTTCATTACAGGGAAGGAATTCAGATTCAGAGAGGCAAATAACTTTCCTAGGGTCACACAACTAGATGGTACTCATGACCTTAACCACAACAGTACAGCTCAGAGAGGGGCAGTAACTTGTCCAGGGCATTCCAACCAGTTGAGGCAGCCTGGCTCTCTGCCCTGCCCACGCCCACCTGGTAGGATGCAATGTCGGCCTGATGACGCTCCTCCAGCTCGGAGCGCTGCCTCTCCAGCGAGTCCTTGGTGCTCTTCAATGTTTCTAGCTCTGTGGTCCTGGCCTGCAGCTGGCGCCGGTACTCAGTTATCTCCTCCTGTGCTGAGCGCATGGCGTCTGTGTTCACCTTGGCCGCCTCCGACAGTCGGTCCAGCCTCACTGGGGGAGAAGGGGACAGGGTTAGACACACCTAGATTTAGGTTCCAGTACCCAGATCCAGATGACACACATGGGTTGAGGATCTGCTGGGTGCCAGATGTCATCCTGGATACTTACCTTTTCTTTTGTTTTTTTGAGACAGAGTCTTGTTCTGTTGCCCTGGTAGAGTACAGTGGTGTCATTATAGCTCACTGCAACCTCAAATTCCTGGGCTCAAGCAATCTTTCCTGCCTCAGCCTCCCGAGTAGCTGAACTTCAGGCATGCACCATGATGCTCAGTAAGTTCTCTATTTTTAGTAGAGATGGGGTCTTGCTCTTGCTCATGCTGGTGTCGAACTCCTGAGCTAAAGAGATCCTCCCGCCTTTGCCTTCCAGAGTGTTAGGATTACAGGCGTGAGCCACTGCGCCCGGGCCTGGATGCTTAACTTTACCTATCCTGTGGGATAGGCAGGTGACTATTACCCATGGCCACCTAGCTAATGAGTAGCAGAGCTGGGGTTCAAATCTAGTATATATCTGGTTCCCCCGACCTGGGCCCCATAAACCCTGCAGGGCAGAGGAAGCCTCATTTCTGGCCCGAATGCCTGGTCTAATTCCCTAGCAAGGGCCTGGCAGTGCTGGGGGTTCAGATATGAGACCTGGCCCATGGGGGTTAGCTCTGAGCTAGAGGCCGGGGGCTCATAGCTGACCAAGTTAATGAGCCTGTGACCTTTTGTGGCATGAGCATGAGCAATCAGGTCACTATGTAGCCAGTCTCTTCTTCGCAGGTTTCTGTGCAGAGTCCAAGGTCACTGCAGAGCCTGAGGCCTGGGTGCCAGTCCTTCTGTCCCTTCCTCCACCTGGCTGTGTGTTCTTTAGCATTGGAGCCCCTGAGCCAACGGCCACCATCCCCTGGCCCCTGCCAGCAACAAGATCCTGATTCCCAAAAGACCTCCAGCGACCAGTGGAGGTCTGTAGACTGGTCTACCTCTCCTGAAAGTAAACATCCTGAATCCCCAGATAGGGGCGCCCAACGCCTGGGTCTTGGTAGGGAGGAAGGAGAGAAGCCAGCTGAGTAGGCCGGTAAAGTCCTGGGGTGGTCTGGTTATGCGAAGGGCAAACCAAAGAGAGGTTTGCCCTTGTGGCAGAGACGGGGGAGGGGTGGGGACCATTTTGCCACTGCAGAGGGGTGGAAAAGGAACAGGAAAAGCCATGCATCCAAATCCTAGCTTTCCTAGCTAGTGCTGGCAAAAACACAGAAACCATCCAGGTGGGTGAGGATTCTCACCTACTGTGGATCGCAGACCCATTTGAAAAATCATTGAAGCCTCTGCACTCTCTGCCAAGAATAATGCGCAATTTTACAGTTTTAGGAGAGATCACAGAACTCCCCAGATTAAGCAGCCCAGTGGGTCCACCCAGCTTTTTCAATCCAAAAAGAAATGAAAACAAACCCCATACGGCAAGTATTATTGAAGGTCATCCTGCAGCTGCAGTCTAGCTGACTCAGGGTTGCATGGAGTTGGGGGAGGGGGTGAACTTGGGAGGCTCCCAGCTTCCCTGAAGGAAAGTGGGGACATTAAAGTGCTCACCAGCCCCTACAGCAATTGGTTGTGCTAATGGTCCCCCCCCTAGGAAGAAAGGATGTGAAGATGTCCTGTTCCACCCTGCACTGGGACTCTTAGCACTGAGGGTGGGACTCTAAGCACTGAGCAGGTAGTGGGGAGGAGCCTGGTAGGGGTCAGGAGAATGAAGTCCCCTGCAGGGTGCAGGAAAGGGGGATGGGCAGCTTTGGCAGGAAAGGGACACTACTTTGAAGGGCGAAGAGTCCCAAGGCGCTAGCGGACCAGAAGCCAGCGCGGCTTTGGAGCTGGAGAGGGAACCTATTCTGTTCTTTTTTTTTTTTTTTTTTGCGACAGTCTCACTCTGTTGCCCAGGCTAGAGTGCCGTGGCATCGGCTTAGCTCACAGCAACCTCAAACTCCTGGGCTCAAGCAATCCTCCTGCTTCAGCCTCCCAGAGTGCTAGGATTATAACCGTAAACTACCACACCCAGCCCATAATGGTGTCTTTTGAAGCACAAAAGTTTTAATTTGTGTGTGTGTGACAGGCTCACTCTGTTGCCCGGGCTAGAATGCAGTGGCATCATCATAACTCAATACAACCTCAAACTCTGGAGCTCAAGAGATCCTCCTGCCTCAGCCTCCCGAGTAGCTGGGACTACAGGCATGCACCACCATGCCCGGTTAATTTTATATATATGTTTAGTTGGCCAATTAATTTCTTTCTATTTATAGTAGAGACGGTCTCACTCTTGCTCAGGCTGGTTTTGAACTCCTGACCTTGAGCAATCCACCCACCTCGGCCTCCCAGACTGCTAGGATTACAGGTGTGAGCCACTGCGCCCGGCCCTATTCTGTTCTTGATAGGAGAGAGGCCTCAGGGTGGGGTCGCCTAAACTTGGGGTGGAGAGCAGGGAGGCAGTACAGACACAAAGACTCTAGAGGAGGACAACCATAGGACAGCCCAGAATTGCAGGCGTCCCACAAGAGACTCAGAGTAAGTGTGCTAATTAGTGGCATGCACTTTGCAGAGGTAAGTTGGACAGCGCCCATCCAGCGGAGTCCAACAGCGCCACCCCGCCCACCCAAGTCATGCTGGCAGGCCGCTCGCCGCGAGGTCAGCAGGGGGCGCCACTCCGTCGCACCCCGCCCTCCCCCGCGCGCCCGCGCACCTCGGAACCACTCCTCGGACTGCAGCGTGCTCTGCACTGCATGGCCTTCAAGCTGCGCGCGGATCTCACGCAGCGCCGACGTCACGTCGCACTTGAGGGCGTCGCGCGCGTCGGCCTGCGCTTGCGCCTGTGCGGCGCCGCAGCCCTGGATCTGGCCGAGCAGCTCGCCCACCTCCTCCTGGTGGAGGCGCCGCAGGTAGCCGCACTCCTCCTGCAGCGCCTGCGCCTTCTTCTGCAGTTCCGCGCGCGCCGCCTCGGCATCCTGCGCGAAGCGCGCCAGTGCGCGCGCCGCGGCCTCGGCCTCCTCCCGCTGCCGGGCCTCGTCGTCTAGGCGCTGGCGCACGTGCGCAATGTCCTCGAGGAGATGCTCCTGCTCCAGGCGCAGCTGGCCGCGCGCCGCGCCCAGGCGCAGCACAGCCCCGCGCATCTCGCGCACCTCGCGCTCGTACAGCTCACCCATGGCAGCGCGGCCCGCCTGCTGCTGCCGCAGCGCCGCCGCCTCGCCCTCCAGGCTGCGGTTGTGCGCCTCCAGCTGCCGCACCTTGTCGATGTAGCCCGCGAAGCGGTCGTTCAGCGCCTGCAGCTGCTCCTTCTCGCTGCGCGCCGCCGCCGCCGCCACCACGCAGCCCTCCGGCCCGTTGCTCACCGTGTCTAGCGAGTCGGTGCTCGAGGTGGCGCCCGCGCCACGGAAGCGGCTGGGCGAGGCTGACACGGAGCTCATGGACGTCCGCGTCCACGAGTGGAAGCCGCTGGAGGAGCCCGAGCGCGTCCCGCCCGCGCCGCCCTTGCGGGCCAGCGCGTAGTGGAGACCGCCACCTCCGTGCAGCGGCGCGAACGGGGCGCCCAGCAGCGCGTCCGCGCCGCCGAAGCTCATCATGGCTGGAGCAGGTGCGGAGCGCGAGGCCGGGACGGGGCGGGTGGCACTGCGGCAGCACCGGTAAGCTGGCTCTTTTATAGTCGCTGTGGCCCGGTCCAGCCCCTTGGCAGTGAGGGGGTGGGGAGGAGGGCCCCGCCCTCTCCGCCTCCTCCCTGCGGCCGGCCGAGGGGCAGACTGGCTCCGCCGCAGTGAGAGGGGCGGGGCAGGGGGAGCAAGGAGTGAAGGGGAATCGACGCGGTGTCAGAGGAGACCCCCGAGGTGGGGGCAGCGGGTGGAGGACTCCCGGAGTGGACTAGTGGGGACCTCCGGGTGAGGTTCTGAAGACCCTGCTAGTATGCTGGGAATAAGAGAGGGGGGCCGAAGTAGGGAGAGGACAAGAGACCTGACAGGAATAAGGGCAGCGCGCTCTCGGGATGGAGGGATGAAAAACTCTGCAGTCATTAGGATGAGGGGAGTCCTGCATCTTAGGGGACACAGTGTTTTCCTAGTATTTAGAGAGGCTCTCAGGATAGCGGGGTGCAGAGACTGCAGCCTTCCGGAATAGGGGGAGTAAGGTAATCCTGAATGAAGGCGTGGATGCAAGAGGATAGAGACGGGGCTCGTGACCGGAGGTACAGGGTTCTAGTTGCGCTAGAGGAGACTTCGGGAGAAGACTCAAGGAACTCTGCACCAGCTCTAGAATAGGGGAGGAGAACATGGAGTTGGGGAGGATGGTGGGGCTACCCTGAATCGGGAGACACTGCAGAGGATGGAGAGAGGGAACCCCAGATGGAAGGGAGGGGGGAAAGTGTTCTCCAAAATGTGTACAGTGGCCCCCAGGGTAAGAGGAGGGAGACCCTGCTGCCAACCCCAGCAAGGGGGACCCTCGGTGAAGGAGGCAGAGAGTCACCTGAATAGGCAGGAGGAATCTGGGCTGAGTGTTAGGGGCAGAGAACCTAGGTGGGGGTGCAGTGAGGGACTGAGCATGAAGTTGGGAGAGCTGGCCCCTGTGCAGGGTTGAGGGACGTGATGGGTGTGCTAGAAGTCGCCCAAGCCGGGTTCTGCAGTTTGCTGGCTGAATGACCTTGGACAAGCTGTGTCCTCCCTCTCTTGGTTTTCCCATCTGTAGGAGGAGGGGTTCTTGCCCCAGGGACAGACTGCAATTCCAAATCCCAGACTGCACTAGGAAGTTCCACTTTGGAGAGTCTCTGGCTGAATCAGGCGAGGGGAACCCCCATATTGCCTGCAGATATGGCACCTACTTTCCTACAACTAGAAAATCCATCTTCCTCCCTCCTCCTCCCCATTTCCTCAGCTTCAACTTGTGATCTCTTCCCCAACCCCCACAGCAAGGGTACAACCAGGGGTGCCTTGATAGGCGTCCCTTCTTGCTCCCAGGGAAGTGGTGGGAAACTTTCTGAGCACCAAAGTCCGTTATCCCCATGACCCCCAGTCGGAGGTCAGGTAGACAAGGGGGTCCCTGTGATCTGGGGTCCTTCCGCAACAGCTGCGTTATTTGGCTCTTTCTTGGTTTGGGCTCATGTTAGATGCCTTTGGGAGTGGGGCTGGTGCTGCGGCTGGCGCTTCAGCACCAGGGATAGGGCCTTCTCCTTTCTGGGGAGAAAGAGGTTAAGTTCTGCCTTCACCTTAGGGGGAGGGGTAGGAGGCATGCCTGCACTCCCTGGCCTAGCCCCTGTGCTATGCAGATGGGAACTGAGGAAGGGTGGGTGAATGATCTCGCAGGGTCACCCGGTGAGCCAGGGACCCACCCCTGGACTTTCCATTAGGGGTCCAGTTCTCTGTTTTCTATGAAATCTGTCCCCTTCCCCCCCACTGCGGACACACCTGGGCTGTCCCCTCCTCTACAGGGAACTGAAAGCAACTCCCAGGGATGCCTGGACCCTTGAGACCCCTTGGGAGTCATTGTAGACCCCTTCCCGGTCTGATCCTCCTTTAAGCAGTTAGCAACCCCCACTACATTCCCAGTTTACCCTTGTTTTCCTTCAGTGGGATCTCCAGGATGAGGACAGACAGATTCCCCAGGAAAGACCTCTGCCAGTTCCTCTCTCTGCCTTCAGCCTCATGCCCAGCCCCCTGGTTCTAAGCAGACCCTCAGGTCTTGGGAAGTCATGGCGCTGTCCCTTTAACCACGTTTTACTGGAAGGAGAGTGTGCTGGGAGGAGGGAGGCAGGAAGGGAGTTTCTGGTTTTGCATGAAGAAGCAGAACATGATGAAGCATTTTTCCCCCATTTAAAGATCAAGTTGTGCTCCAGTTTGCAGAGGGCAGAGGGGCTGGCTTGCTGGTGGTACTGGGAGGATGAAGGTGAGTGGTTGGTCTGAGGCATCTGAGACAGGCATTTGGGGGTGGGAGGAACTTGGGCAAGGCCCCCTTGCTCTCACATGGCCCCCATTTACTTGTCATTCTGCTTGGAACTTTGCCAGTAGAGCCTTCTTCCTGTGGGGCTTTTCAGTCTGCAGAATGCTGATGCATTTTTCTGGATTGGATAAGGCTTACAAGCAGCTGACTGCAAGGAGGAACGGTGGGGGTTAGGGCAAAAGGGGGGGCCCAGATGGATTCTGTTGAGCCCAAGAAGCCACAACCATCAGATTGTAGCTACCTATAGATTCCAAGAAGCCTCAAGCAGGACTCTTTTTTTTGAGACACAGTGTCACTTTGTTGCCCAGGCTAGAGTGAGTGCCATGGCATCAGCCTAGCTCACAGCAACCTCAAACTCCTGGGCTCAAGCAATCCTTTGCCTCAGCCTCCCAAGTAACTGGGACTACAGGCATGCGCCACCATGCCCAACTAATTTTTGGTATATATATTTTTAGTTGGTCAATTAATTTCTTTGTATTTTTAGTAGAGACGGGGTCTCACTCAGGTTGGTTTCGAACTCCTGACCTCGAGCAATCCGCCCGCCTCGCCCTCCCAGAGTGCTAGGATTACAGGCGTGAGCCACCACGCCTGGCCCAAGGCTGGAAAAATTGTGGCTGGAAAAATGGCCCAAGGACTTGAGCCCTGAGGTAAGTCCCCCAAAGGGGCCTTCCGGCTTACCTCCAGGAAGCTGTCCCTGGCCTCCTGCACCCCCACATTTAGTTAATCATCCCCTCCTGGGTGTTCTCATGGTCTCTAGTGCTTACCCCTGCATTGCTCTTACCACTCTGTGTTGCTGTGTGAATGAATGAATGGATGAATGAATTCCATTAGTTCTCCAGCCCAACTTGTGGTCTAGAGGTGACTAAGAATGATTCTGTCCTGAATCACTGGGGCTTAAGTCACTTTCTTCCTCTTCCCTGTGATTCTTGCCATTTAGAAGTGAGTAGAATAACATCTTTATTCATCCATCAAATGCTTATGAGCCCCTGTTATGTGACAAGTACATACAAAATGCTGAGGTTTCGGAACCCCATAGGCCCTCCAAATTGTCTCCCTGGGACAAGGATTCTCAAGTCCTTCCCAAATCCCAGCTCAGCATTTCCCAAGGCACCTTCAAGATGATGATAGGTGTTCCTTCAAAAAGGAGAGGAAAAGGCCGGGCACAGTGGCTCACGCCTGTAATCCTAACACTCTGGGACGCCGAGGTGGGCGGATGGCTCAAGGTCAAGAGTTCGAAACCAACCTGAGCAAGAGCGAGACCCCGTCTCTACTATAAATAGAAAGAAATTAATTGGCCAACTAATATATATATATAATTAGCCAGGCATGATGGCACATGCCTGTAGTCCCAGCTACTAGGGAGACTGAGGCAGAAGGAGTGAGACCCCGTCTCTACTAAAAATAGAAAGAAATTAATTGACCAACTAAAAATATATAGAGAAAAAATTAGCCAGGCATGGTGGCGCATGCCTGTAGTCCCAGCTACTCGGGAGGCTGAGGCAGGAGGATCGCTTGAGCCCAGGAGTCTGAGGTTGCTGTGAGCTAGGCTGACGCCACGGCACTCACTCTAGCCTGAGCGACAAAGTGAGACTCTGTCTCAAGAAAAAAAAAAAAAAAAAGGAGAGGAAAAGAAGAAGTTTCATGGCCAAAGGAGTGAGTTAAACAGTGTTCTTGGAGCATATCTTCCAGAGCCTGGACATGGCAATGAACATTGGGAATCTCCCAGGGGCAAGTATAGTGTACAGTGTTCCCAGTCTTACTCACCTCTGGACCCTTCTTGTCCCCAAGTGTCTCTGGGACAAGGGTCTAGTGGCCTATATAGGAGGACCCACTCAGAATTGGGCTTCAGCCTCTGCTGTCCCTGGGCTCCAGTCTGGGCTCCTTTGGACCCCAAGGCTGGTGGTGCTCTTCAAGGGCATACTTGTGAGTCAAGGATAGAACAGCAAAACTCCCTGGGAACACATGCATTGCCATTACTCACTCCACTCATGCAGCATCCATGGGACTAAACCGTATGGTGAGAGCTGGGAATTTAGAATGAGACCCTCGTGAGAGAGAGAGAGAGAATTCAGCCACCCCTTTCTCCTTGGTACCTCCTCAGAAGTTGTTCACTAGGCAAGGATCACTGTCCCTATTTTATAGACAAGTAAGCTGAGGCCAGAGTGAGGAAGTAGGATGCCTGAGTTGAGCTGGTGCCAGAACAGAGCCCCGTGTCTCCAATCATCCAGGCCTGAGCTGGCACTGGACACACAGGATGGAAACACATGTCTCTTGCACAGTAGAGGCCCACGTGGTCTGATGGGGGGGAGTGAGAGGTCCCACAGAGGGACCAGGAAGCTTTCTGGGACTGGGTTTGCGGTCTGGCCTCTGACAGGTCACCTAGCTGAGAGTCCCTGTGACCCACGTCCCAACATCAGCATATTCTTTCTGTGTGGGGACACTTCCTGGCTTGGACTCCCTGCACCACTGCACTTCTGCGAGAACAGCATGTGACCACTGTCTGGGGTACATTCACTAAACTCCTTGTTCTCTTTCCCTGCTTGATTCTTCTCTGTAGGACTTGATCTTTTCTAACATGCTTCTGTGTGTCTCAGTTATTTTGTCTCCTCCCTCCGAAATGGAAGCTTTGTAAGGGCAGGGATTTGTGTCTGTTTTTCGTTCACCACTGAATTCCCCAGTGCTTGGAGTATTGACTGGCATACAGTAGGTACTTAACAAGTAATTGTAGGACGACTGTAAGGCTCTGCCTGAGAGACTGGTGATCACGTGGACATTTCAGCACCAGGCATATCCGGACAGCTCCTGGCCTGCTCTGCCCTTAGAAGGGCCACACCTGCAGCATGCCTGGAGAAAGTGGGCTTGAAAGTGTGTGGGGGGTGGGGGGGGAAGAGGGGTGACCCAGGCCTGAAGCCTCCAAGCCCGAGCTGTGTGGTCACCTTTGCTGAAGCTCAAACCTTGCCCACTCCATTTTCCACAAACTCACGCAACTCCTGGTATTACTTTTTCCTTTTTGAGTTCAACAGTTCTTTTTATGTGTCGATGAAGAGCTAAGCATTTCTCTCTTCTTGCCTCTTCCCCTTGGGTGTTCATCCTGCCCCACATTCTGTCTCTCCTCTCTTGTCTCCTCGTTTCTCCACTTTGTACCCTCTCTCTCCTTTCCTTCTCCCTCCACCATGCCCACCACCCCCCCCCCCCCCCCGTCTTGCCCTCAGTTTCTCTGCTCTGTCCTCCTTATCCCTTTACTCTTCCACTCTCCCTCCTCCCCTTCCTTAGAGGTGTCCTCTTTTTGCCAGGCTTGAATCTAATTTATAGTGAAGGGATGCCAGCCTCCCCACTGCTACTTCCTTTAGGAAGCAAATAGTGAAAACTGAACTGTGTGAAGTTTTGTATAAGCCTCCCCTGTGTAGGTTCCACCCACAGTCTTAACCCCTCGGGACTGACTGCAGCGGAGGAAGCCGTGCGGCAGGCCCGCCCACCCACCTATCTGCCACCCTGGGACTGCACCAGCTGGGAGGCTGAGACCAGCCCCAAAGGCCAGGAGCTGGTGGGTGGATCCACAGGTCTGCCCCCCTCCCCAGTTCCAGTTCCTGTTGTGGGCAACTACGGATGAATGATTCTTGGCCTGTGGTTCCTAAGACTGGGAATGAGATGGTTCATTGATCTTTGCTAATGGACTCTTATCCAGTGACTGGGGCTTGCTGAGTTACAAGTGCTCTAGGGCTGTCACTGCTCTTGTCACCTAGAGCAAGAGGCTAAGTGGTGGTGGGAATTTAGGCTCTCATGTAAGGAAGGGAGGGGATGCCTCTGCTTTTATGCCTGTCTCCTCTTATCCCTGCAGCCCTATGAAATAGCTGCTGTTAGTATCTCCACTTCATGGTTTGGGAAATGAAGGCTCAGAGAGGTTGGGTAACTTGCCCCAGGTCACACAGCTAGTAAATGGTGGAGCTGGGATTTGAACCCAGGTCTGATAGACTCTGCAGCAGGTATGCAGAACTGTAACACTTTGCCATCAAGTCACACATTCATAGGATGGCCCAACTGGACCCAGTACTTTCCTGGTTCTGTCACGGCTGGCCGTGGCCTTTGCTCTAGGGGTTCTTTCTGGCATCTTGGTGGAAGCAAGGGGGATTGAGAATTGGCCCTGGCTTTGGTTTTTTTCCTTTTTTTCTAGGTTCTTATATTCTCTCAGGGTTGTCTTGGACAGAGATTTCAAACTGTATAGTCAGGAAGTTAAGCTGTGGCGACAGATGAGCAGAAAGCAGTCACGGAACAATGATTGATGTTCACAGTGTAACTCTTGAGTAATCAAGAAAATGGTTTCAGCATCGTCCAGGTGGTGAGCGCCTGCCTGCTGCGTTCCGGCTGCTACGTACGGGGCGTCTGCAGCCACTCTGCCAGGGGTGTGGGTCATCCTCCTCTATGGAGTAGGACATCCAGGTCGGAGAAAGAAAGTGATCTGCCAAGGTCACAGGGGAAGGTAGTGGAGGGGCTGTGGCTCATACAGGCTTGGAGGGGCCCAGGACCCTTGTGCTTCCCAATGTCCATATTGGCTCTCAGAAAGAAAAATAAAAAGATTTCAGTGATGCTTCATTTCTTACTCTGTAGGAGAAGAGGTCTGTAGTACGTTGTAGAAAGATTCTATGCCAGAGAGTTTAAATTGACATGTTGGGACCTGAGGGGAGAATTAACAGTTGGATAAGAGTTCATTCCTGGTGGTCAATGCTGGCTGGGAAACAGGGCATGACTAGCCCTTAACAGAGGCCCCTGCAAGTGGGCATAGCCCCAGGCTTGGTGGACAAGAGACTTTCCCTGCTTGGGGACAGCTGCACTCTGGCCTATTTGCAGTCAGGCTGTGTGGGGACATACAGGACATGGGGCAGGGGCGTGGGGCTAGCATGGCATTACTGCAAGGCAGCAGATGCCAGCATGGGAGAGGTGTACCGGGAGAGTTTCTGAAACCTCTGCCTTCACCCCAAGCCAGGCACTCGTGGACAGAAGACTGCGGGAGCCAGGAGTGGGCCCACATCAGGTCACACCTGCCAGTAAAGGCTCCGCTGAGCACCTGCACTGCCTTCTGGCATCCAGGAGGTTAGTGATAGAGAAAGGAGGAGGCAGAGCAGATCTTGAGGTCTTTGCTGTCTTTTGGGGCAGTTAGTGGAAATAATGTACTTTTTTTTTTTTTTTTTTTTTTTTTTTTGAGACGGAGTCTCGCTTTGTTGCCCAGGCTAGAGTGAGTGCTGTGGCGTCAGCCTCGCTCACAGCAACCTCAAACTCCTGGGCTCAAGCGATTCTCCTGCCTCAGCCTCCCGAGTAGCTGGGACTACAGGAATGTGCCACCATGCCCGGATTATTTTTTTTATATATATTAGTTGGCCAGTTAATTTCTTTCTATTTTTAGTAGAGATGGGGTCTTGCTCTTGCTCAGGCTGGTTTCGAACTCCTGACCTTTAGCGATCCGCCTGCCTCGGCCTCCCAGAGTGCTAGGATTACAGGCGAGCCACCACGCCGGGCCTACAAAGCGCTCTTTATATGTATTTTCCACGTTTGCACATCCACAGGGAAGGAAGGTGCAGTTGTCCCCATTTACAGATGAAAAGACTGAGGCATAGAGAGGTTGACTTATATCTTGTAACTTCTGGTTTCCTTCGCAAACTTGTCTGGGTCCCACTGGAACTTAACAAGATTTGTCATCAAACAAATGACGGTTGAAACCGAGGCTTCAGGACTGCAGAATCCATTTCTCTGCCTCTGAGCATCACGCCGGCAGCAGCGCCCCCTGCAGGCGGCAGCAGGCATTCCCCTCCGCGCCGGAAATGGCCGAACGCTTCCTCCAGCCTCCGAAGATTGCCGAGGGCGCTATTTCAAAGGCCCGGGCCTAGAGAAGCAGGGCGCGCCACCTTCGGACCCTATTCAACCTTCTAGGCGGCCTTAATCACCGCAGTGTCCCGTCAGTGGCGGCACCTCCAGGCCTGCGGAAAGGTGGCAGTGACCTTGACTGTTGTCTCTTCCTTTGTCCTGGGTAAGCGGGCAGCGGGGCGTTCAGAGGGTGGGGCGGTCTCCAACGGAGGGTGTGGGCTGGTGAAGGGGCATGGGTGGAGCTCTTTTCCTGGGTGGGCTGCTGGGGAAGGGGATCTGCCTTGGGGCACCCTGCCACTAGCTAGTAGCGAGGATATGGGTACATCAAGCCCTGGGCCTGTGTTCTGGCGTCTGTGTCCGTGGGCAACAGCCTGCTCCTCGCCCAGACCTCAGTTTCTGCACCTGTAAAATGGGGGCTTTTCCAAGACACTTCCACAGATGCAAAGATTGAGATTTCGTCCAGCATGTTTAGAATTCCCCACCCCCGGCAGACACCTGAGAAATGGGAGCTGGATCCGGTGAGCTGATGTGGCCGCAACGGGAGCACGTTCCCTTGCTGCATTAGCACTCCTGAGATGAAGAGCCCTAGAGGTTGGGAACAGCCACTTCCCGGTGAACCAGGCGCTCTGCAGCCTGGCATGGTGGCAGACATGAGACATGGCTGTGGAAGTAACTGGTAACAGTAGTTACTCCCATTTATTGAGCACGTAGTATGTGCCTGGCTTTGCACAAAGCTGGTCACATGCATTATTTTGCCTTCACAAACGTTTGGCCCAGAAAGCAGAATGGCTGAGGGGAGAAATGACCAGGGCCTCACAGTATTAATCATCCATGCCATGAGCTGGGGGCCCACTACGCCTGGGTGCTGGCCTAAGGGCATTTCACACGTTATTTATACTCCTGAAAGTGACCCTGTACTGCAGATTTTGTTATTTCCATTTTGAAGCCGAAGCTCAGGTCACTTTAAATGCCTCAGAGCACACTGTTAGTAAAAAAACTGGAACTTTTGGTTTTAAAAGTGCATCCTGTCTGCCTATGCGTCACTGTTAGGAATACCCCACTCTTCTCTGAGCCTCTGTTTCTCCTGTGAAATGAGAGGCTCAAACTGGAAGACCCGGATGTTCTTTCCCCAAGGGGGCTTCTTTGATCTTTAGGAACATTGACATAATGTTGGGAGACCTGGGTGTGAAGATTGCATTTGTCCCTAATTATCTGTGACCTGGGCACACCTTAGCCAAGTCCTCTGCATCTCTGGGCTCCAGCGATCCTGTTAGTAAAATGTAGAGACTAGACAGTCCAGTCACCAGGCTGCTTTCTGGCTGGAATATCTTATGACTGCAAATGAAGGGACATGCTGAGCTTTGGCAAGCGTGCATCCTGCTGGGGTTTCTAGTAAAGATATCCCCTTCACAGTCAGGCACCTCAGGCAAATGACCTCTCTTCTCTGTGCCTCAGTTTCTGCCTATATGAAATGAGGTGCCAATAGTACCAGCTTCCTTTGAGATTCTGTGAGAAAACATATGTAAAAAAAATAACCTAACACCATTTCTGGCCTACAAACCCCTCAGTAAACAGAACTGTTACTGCACGCCTGCACCTTTCTGGTCACCGGGGGAGTTCCTAAGCCTTGGACTCTGCCCACCCTTTGAAGATGGTTTTGGGAGAGGGGGAGAGGTAGGGTCCTGTGGGGTCAGCAGAGGATCCAGACTTGGGGACTCAGGCGGCCCCTGTCCCTGAGGCCGCTTGTGCTGGCTGCCACGCCTGAGGTGGCTTTAATGGGCATTCCAGCATGTCCCTGGCTGGCAGCAGCCCCTGGGGAGGGGCAGCGGCCAAGTGAGGACAGAGGAGTGGCGCAGGACGGCTGTATGTGCACTGTAGACCTCAGCTCAGTGCGTCCTTGGGGTTTGAGAGGAGATAACAAGTATGTGCTGTGCTTTGGGCTTTTCGCTTTTTTTTTTTTTTTTTTTTAGAGACGGGGTCTCGCTATGTTGCCCAGGCTGGAGTGCAGTGGCTATTCACAGGCGCAATCCCACTACTGATCAGCACGGGAGTTTTGACCTGCTCCGTTTCCCACCTGGGCCGGTTCACCCCTCCTTAGGCAACCTGGTGGTCCCCTGCTCCCGGGAGGTCACCATATTGATGCCGAACTTAGTGCGGACACCCGACCGGCATAGCGCACTACAGCCCAGAACTCCTGGGCTCAAGCGATCCTCCCATCTCAGCCTCCCGAGTAGCTGGGACTACAGGCGCGCGCCACCGCGTCCGGCGCTTTTTTTTCTTTTTTTGAGACAGAGTCTCACTCTGTTGCCCAGGCTAGAGTGCCATGGCTTCAGCAACCTCAAACTCCTGGGCTCAGGTGATCCTTCTGCCTCAGCCTCCCGAGTAGTTGGGACTACAGGCATGTGCCACCATGCCTGGCTAATTTTGTATATATGTTTTTAGTTGGCCAATTAATTTCTTTCTACTTATAGTAGAGATGGAGTCTCACTCTTGCTTAGGCTGGTTTCAAACTCCTGGCCTTGAGCAATCCACCCACCTCAGCCTCCCAAAATGTTAGGGTTACAGGTGTGAGCCACTGTGCCCGGCTGCTTCAGGCTTTTCTGAAGTGTGTTCACGTCAGTCGTGTCCCTGGGACACAGCTGTATGGTATGGGACAAGTTTCTCAACCTGCAGAGCAGGGACTCAGGTGCTGGGGGCCTGTGCAAGGGGCCAGGGACCTCACAACTATGTGCAAGATTGTGTGATGACTCTCAAGAGGCATAAGACCCCAAAACGTCAAAGGAGTTCTTGATCGAGGAGTCAGAAAAGCTGGTCCCCAGACCCTATTTCTCCCTCCCTTCTCTTCTCCTGTCATCCATTTAGCAAATATTTCCTGACGCCTGTCGCAGGCCCTGCCCTGCACTGGGAATACAGCCCTGATGAAGGCAGGCTTCCAGCTCCCCTGGTCAGGAGCACCAACAAGGGGCCGATTGCATAGAGGAGCAAGTCCAGGGGCTGTGAGAGCCTCACGTTGGGGCACCCGACCCCACGTGTGGCAGAAGGCAAGCTGGGGGTCAGCACATGAGTCTTGGCTCAGTGCCTGTGGCCTTGGGCAGACCACTAGCCTCATGAGCCTCAGTTTCCCCCCTTTCTTATGAGCCCAATGGCACCACTTCTCAGAGTTGGGTGAGGATGGAGGAGGTGACAGCCCATTGGAGCCTGGCCCCTGGAGATGCTGGCTGTGTGTCGGCTCTCCTTGAGCAGGACTCCACCCAGGCTCACAGCACAGTGCTCCTTCCACTTCCTTGGAGCCAGAGGGGCTCCTGTTTGAAACAGGCCAGGGTGAAGAACTGTGGTGTGGAAGTCAGGGATCTATCCCTGATCCCCAGGGCTCTTCCTGGCCTTGCCAGATGGCCCCAGACACATCCTAGGAGCCTTAGTTTCCCACTAACACAAAGGGGGGGGCGGGGAGTGGGCTGCCTGGTCCGTGGGCACATGCATGCGAAGAGTGGAAAGGCTGAGAAGGTGAGCATCAGGGACAGCATCCCAAAAGAGATGGCGTAGCTGAGGCCTGAAGGATTGAAACAGGTGCCACGAGAGAACTGGCGGGCTCCCTGGGCCTGGAGTGTTCCTGGTAGAACCTCAGAGTGTGATGGAGGAATTTGAGGGGCACCTGGGCTCAAGTAGGAGGGAGGGAAGGAGTGGTGTAGGGGAGAACTGTGCTTTTGCTCCAAGGCTTTCTAACAGAAGGAATTAAAGACAAAGAGCAGGGCCCCTGGGGTCAGAAAGGCTTGAGTTTGAGTCCATTTGAGGACCCCTAGGTAAGGGTTCACCTGTCCAAGCCTCATTTCTACCAGCTGGAAAAGGTGATGGTAATCGCACCTCACTCAAAAGGCTGTTGGATATTAAGTGACTCCATTTATATGAACGATCCAGAATAGGCAAATGTATAGAGACAGAAAATAGATTAGTGGTTACCTAGAGCTGAGGGGGTGAGGGGATTGAGGGAGGATAGCTAAAGAGTATGACATTTCTTTTTGGGGTGATGCGATGTTCTGAAATTGACTGTGGTGATGGTTGCACAACTCCATGAACATGGAATCGTATACCTTAAATGGTTGCATTGTATGGTATACGAGTTATTATCTTTTTTTGTTTGTTTGTTTTATTTTTTTGAGACAGAGTCTCACTCTGTTGCCCGGCCTAGAGTGCTGTGGTGTCAGCCTAGCTCACAGTAAACCTCAAACTCCTGGGTTCAAGTGATACTTCTGCCTCAGCCTCCTGAGTAGCTGGGACTACAGGCATGCACCCCCATGCCTGGCTAATTTTTTATATTTTTGGTAGGGACGGGGTCTCGCTCTTGCTCAGACTGGTCTGAAATTCCTGAGCTCAGACGATCCACCCTCCTCGACCACAGAGTGCTGGGATTACAGGTGTGAGCCACCGTGCCTGGCCATGAATTATCTTAATAAAGCTGTTACCAAAAAAACAAGGGGCCAGGCACAGTGGCTCACACCTGTAATCCCAACACTTTGGGAGGCTGAGGCAGGAGGATTGCTTGAGGCCAGGAGTTTGAGACCAGCCTGAGCAAGAGTGAGATCCTGTCTCTACTAAAAATACAAAAATTAGCTGGGTGTGGTGATATGTGTCTGTAGTCCCAGCTACTCAGGAGGCTGAGGCAAGAGGATCACTGAGCCCAGGAGTTTGAGGCTGTATTGAGCTATGATGACACTGCACTCAAGCCTGGGCAACAGAGCAAGACCCTGTCTCAAAAACAAAACAAAATGAAACACACAAAGGGTAGTTGGGAGGATCAGATGAGACATAGCATGCTCCCTAAATGTTAGCTATCACTGACATTAGTTATTCCTGGCAGCCAGTCCAGCCCTCTCACTAGAGAGGGCTGATAGGCTCTAGGAGGTGGGAAAGAGGCCTGGACTGCCGCTAACTGGCTGGGGTCCCCAAGCAAAATACATAACCTCCCTGAGCCTCAGTTTTCTCGTCTGTGAAATGGGGGTAGTTTTCTAGGCCGTGGCCACCTCTCCGGACACTGTAATACTCAGATTAGACCATGGTCTTTTCCAAATACAGATACAAGGTCAGATGTGGAGAAGGGTAGGGCTTGGATGTTCCCTCTGTCTGCTCCCAGAGGGGCTGCCTTCACGCTTCCACTGACCGTTGTGT